TAAAGTCCCACGGGCGAAACTGATCTATGGTGACAGCAATCAGAACACTGTTTGCCTACGGAGCTGCAGGGAGATGGGGCGTTCTGCTCCCGCCAAGCGGTACAGTCTCAGAAACTCAGGGATGGCTCCACCCTGGTTTCAAGGGCAGTGAGTATGGAAGGGGTTCGAGGGGATAGCGGGGGAGAAGGGGGCTGGAAATGGGTTGCTGCTCACACACACACACTATATATATATACCATTTAATGGTATACTTTAAGGCTATACAAGTCACTGAATTTAATGTGATCTCCAAGTCAAATATTGAATGAAAAAAAAATATTAGTTACATTTGTGTGCCCTGAAATGGAATGTTCTCCAAATAAATTAAGGGAGAGGGTGGGAGCCAAGCACAGAACACGTGTGCTCCTGTATAAGGAAGGGCTTCTCCAGTACAATCCTGCTATTGGGGGAGTAGCTTTGCTCCATATGGGTGTTTCTGAGGGGGGCAAACTGTGAATGAGCCCAACTGCCGACCGTTGAAGATGATAGACGGAGGTCAGAAGCTGAGACTAATGGCTGGAACAAACGAAGCAAGGAAGCAAGAACCATATGGAGAAACCACAGGTTGCAGGGAACATGCCTGAGGGGACCATCAGGGACAGGAGCAGGACGATGTGACCTTGTACAGAGAACCCTGCCTCAGCTCCTGCGCACATCAAAACCTCCTCCTCCTCCTGAAAGCTTGGGTTCGATGGATTTAAGAGACCTGCGCAGCAAGAACACCCTACTGCTAGGTGACCTAAGACAACGGCTCCGGCACCGACCTGGAGTTCTGAGAATGACAGAGTGGTGGGCATGTCCAACTCGCTATGCTAATATCCCAGGTGCCCCGCCTGCAGGCGCCCTTTTGAATGTTCGGACTCCGTCTTGGTCCCATGTGGCGTATGCACATCCACTGCAGAGAGGAATGGAGAAGGAACCCCTGGAGACATTCTTGGGGCAGGGAAGGTCCAGAGTCCTGGCTCCAGGCCAGTGAAACAAGTAAGGAAATATCCAATTGCGTGGATCTCAGCTTGAGATGCTAAAGCTTTTTGTTTAATCATGGACACGGACACTGTGGGGTGCACACAGTTTATGTGGATGGAGCTCTGTGTCTTTCATGTAGGCTCTTCCCCGGTGTGTTGGTCAAATACAGTGAACCCTCGCTACTTCGCGCTTCGACTTCCGCGGCTTCACGCTATCGCGGTTTTTGCGTAACAGCACCCACTGCCTACACCCGCTCCTTCAGAGGAAAAAGACGGCAACCCACCTGTAGAGTACATCCCTTAAGTCATTTCATAGGCTATTGATTACAGTATTTGTAAGAACTATGTATAATAATACTGTATGTGAAATATGTAATACTGTAAACTAGATGCCATAAATAACATAATAAATAATAAATGATAATTGTAACGTCCAAAATGTTTTACTGTATTTTCCCTTTTTCATTTAATAAATTGGGTAATACGAGTGTAATGGTGACTAAAGGGTGTTTTTTCATGTCCTCTATGCTCTAACTACGAAAATATTTGATTTACAAATAAGGAATCCTACTTCGCAGAATTTCATTTATCACGGTAGGGTCTAGAACTGATTAACCGTGATAAACGAGGGTTCACTGTAATGCTATTAAGAGGCTGTGAGACAAGGAGACATTGCCTGGAAGAAAGCCATTCTGGGCTAAGAACAGGTAGTTTGTCTTGTTTTAACCAGACCATCCAGCGTTTTGTTCTTTATCCCCTCAATAAAGAAAACTCCCTCAAAGGATGTGTTAGCCTTGAACTCTTTAAGTCATTTCACTGATTGGCCCATGTGCTGCACAGCTGATGCCTGCTGAATTCAGAGCCAAAATCCTGCTGTCGACTCTTTTTGCTCAACTCACTCACTGCCAGAGTCGATTCGGGGACGCACGGACACCCTATGGGGAGAAGACTTCGCCTGCCCTGGAGAGACGCCACGCCTTGGCCTGGTCAGACGAAAAGGCCCAAGATCTGCCCCTAAGGGGGTTTTCACCCTAAGGGAAAGGGATTTATGGCCATTTGTCAAGAATTCCCTATCAAGGGTCAGCAGATAAGGATACCCTGACCTTTGAAATACACTGGATCCCCTGCAGACTCATAGGTTTCTGTCCAAAAGCGCTGAGAACAATCCTTGTCATAATTATAGGACCAGCTAACCTTGGGCCCAAATAAATAGCTAATCCAGATTCTAGGAAGTGAGGAAGGAAAGGGTCTTAGAAGGGACCTCTTTACAAACGTCAGAGGCAGATTGTGGGTGGGGAAAGGTCTGAGAGAGCCTGCGGGAAATGTCCAAGATCTAGATGGGAACAGGGAGTGACCTGTAGAGACAGCACAGGGTGGGGGTGGGGATTTCACCTGCTCCAAGGAGAGAAAAGATCAATCGGGATAAATGGATTCATGACTCTGGGGGAAAGTCCCAAACGAGAGAGACCCTCTAGTGCAGCGCCTCTCAACCTGTGAGTCGCGACCACTTTGTGGGTTGGACGACCCTTTTTACAGTAGCGAAATGACAGTGATGAAGTAGCAACGAAAATAATGTTATGGTTGGGGGGGTCACCACCACCTGAGGAACTGTATGAAAGGGTCGAGGCATGAGGAAGGTTGAGACCCCTGCTGTAGTGTTTCACAATAGGAGCGAAGGCTCAGAAGGGGATAGGGCTTGTTCCGAATCAGATGTCAAGATCAACTTTGTATCTTGACTCGAACTCTGGCCTCTCGGTTCCAATTTCATGCCAGGGAACCTTGGCAAGTTGGAGTTCGAGCTGAAGCCCTTGACCCGACAATCAACCGTGCACTCCTCCTACACAGGTACGCGTTCCTGCGGAATTGCCTGGATAGTCTCAAGAACGTGGCAGTGAGCAGCCCACTGTGAGGCTCGAGTTCCTTACCTGCCTGTTAGTTTCCTCTCTTTTTTCCCCTGCCCGAACCCTCATTCTGGAATGAGATCAAAGCCCTGGTTTTCAGGCGAAGCAAACCAACCCCACCCACCCCCAACCCAAGGTTGGAATTCTAATTGGCTCAAGCTCATTCAGGTATTCCAATTTCCTTTAGTCAACGGTTGGTCTAGCGTGGACGTGTGACCCTTTTTCATCAAGTAAGACAAAAATGGAAGACTCTTGGGGACTTCTGGATCAAATGTCGGCCTTCCTAATCAAAGGGACTGACGCTGTCGGCACCTTCATCCCCCTGCCCGTTACCCCTTCCTTTCCTGCTTTGAAGACAAGTCTGTATGTAGTATGAGGATAAAAGCACATTCTTAGGGTGGCTGATAGAGCTAGCATCCCTGGTGGCCTGAGTGAGCTGCTGAACCAATGATACCAATTATTTACCTCCAGATGCCTTGTGAAGTAAAAATTCAATGGGCTTGCGGTTTAAGCCAGTTAGCTAGATTTTCTCTTATTTGCCACCCAAAGCATTCCTCATTGATCTAGGCCATCTTGTAACCACCTCTAGTCAACTCGAGAAGTCCTTTGGAGACAGCCTTTGGTCAGCATTAGCCATGAGTTCTGCTTGCCTGAAGACCTCAGCCCGGTTCCCATAGAGTCCCACAACCAGGTAGTGTCTGATAGCATCCTTCACCCACCCCACTACACCCTCCTCTCTCACCCAGCCAGTTCTACTCATCTTCCAATGCCTGCCTCGCTTTGGTCTGATAAACCATATTCCAACCTGAAATGATTTGCGGTACCCTGAAATCCCATACAAACCCTACACTGGTCTCAGATCCCACAGCAATTCATTAAGTTGGCGGCACTCAACCGTGGCTGCACATAGAATCCTCTGAGAAGCTCTTAGAAATTCGCATGCCCCGGCTACTCTCTAGGGCAGCGGTTCTCCACCTTCCTCATGCTGAGACCCCTTCATACAGGTCCTCATATAGTGGTGGCCCCCCCAAGCATAACATTAATTTTGTTGCTGCTTCATAACTGCAAATGTTGCTACTGTTATGAAGCGTCTGATAGGCAGGATGTATTTTCATTGTTACAAATTGAACATAATTAAAGTATAGTGATTAATCACAAAAACAATGCCATTATATATTGTGAAATATTTATTTCTAATGACAAATAAATGAAATTTTGTCTTGAAGCGTGGTGTAGCATGGGTAACAGTCTTCACGCCGGGTACTCGTATCTGCATGTGGGCGGACCCGCCTGGAGACGGAGAGGAGCGGTGTCTCGGTTAAGACCATTGGAAATATGTGTTTTCCGATGGTCCTAGGCGACCCCTGTGAAACGGTCGTTTGACCCCCAAAGGGGTCGTGACCCACAGGTTGAGAACCACTGCTCTAGGCCAACTGAACTAGACTCCCTGCAGCTGAGACCCAGGTATCCATAGTCTTTCAAAGTCCCAAAGAGGACATATTTTGAAGTAAAGGATGAGAACCACGAATCGGGGTTCCAAAGAGTGGCTAATGGCTAGTTAGCTCAAAGTAAACCTGGCTATAAAACATATTAGCAACCTCAGTTTACCTTTATTATTATTATTTTGAAAAATCAATCTATTCGTCTACTCACTGGTCTTTCCGGGACTGCCATCCATGCACCCAAATTGATCACATGGATAAATCATTTATCAATCACATCTATGGTGACCTGCTCTGGTTTGGGTATAGGGGCAGGACTGGACTCACTGAACACTCAGAGCCCTTGGGAGCCCTCCGAGTGTCACCAGCAGCCATGTAGAGACCACGATCGAGGGGTGGGTAAGAATGGAGCCAGGTATCCGATCTACCTTGGTTAGGGGAAGGGAAGTCGTTTCCATACTGTTCTTCCCAAGCAAACTCAGCTCCTCAGGCAAGACCTAACCTGTCTCATCCGACGCTGTCCTCACCCACCCCAGAGGAAGGAACAGAGAGAGACTGGTCCGCTTCAGGCTCTTGGCGTAGACGCGCTCTTGACCATACATGTGACAACACCAAAGCCCGGAAAGGCTCAAAGAAGGACACGGAGTCAGAAATCTGGGTTGGAACTCACTTGCCATTAGCTTTATGTGTGACTTAGGACATCTCTGAGCCTCAAAGTCTTCATGAGATAAATAAGCAAGGGTAATCGCACACACCAATCTTCCAAGGACTGAATAAGGTAACTAGTGGGTGTAAAGGTCAGTGGGTTCATCCTTCTATCTTGCTGTACACACACACACACACACACACACACACACACACACTATGGCCCAAACCCAGAGATGCATCAGCACAGCGTGCAACTTTCCATCAAAGACATGGAAGGAGGGCAAGCCATTGGTGGGGTCGCCAGGAATTATCGCGCCCAACGAAATCAGATGCATACGTGGTCACCGACGGGGTCTCGAGGTTCCCATGCTTTCTCCTGCCCTGAAAAATGGCCCCAATTGACCTCAGATTCCCGCTGCTACTCGTTGGGCTGTGAGCTTCAAGGTCAGTGGTTCAAAACCACCAACCGCTCCGAGGGAGAAAGAAGAGGCCCTCTACTCCCATGATCAGAATATCAGAAACCCATGGGGACGGCTTTACCCTGTCCTATAGGGTGGCCACGAGTGAACAGCGCAATAAGAAAGGAAAGCAGGGTTGGGGGCTAGAGTCTGTCTCTCATCTCTCTACTCACAGGGGGTTCGAGGCTCATCTTCCCACAGTTACTCTGGAGTCTGTGCCTCTGTGATACTGAGCCCCGGGCATGGTCCCAACTGCCACTCTGCAAAGGGAGGCCTCTCCCCAGGGGAGCTCACGTACTCTAGCATGGCCAACAACTCTTACTATTGGCATGTAGCTGCTGTGTTCACCCAGGACCTGTAGATGCCCCACTGTGGTCTCCCCAAACCCATTGCTACCCAGTCTTGGAGTGTGATCCCATCTGTGTAAGGGTGACAGGAAAATCATCTTCCAGAAAAGCCAAAATGGCCTACTTGAGAGAAGGGGGTGGGGGGTGCAGAGGGCCCCAGCCAGTGGATTCTCACAAATGTTGGCCCAGACAATCAAGAGACCCAGGGACGGAAAGGCCTCACTAGAGTGCTGGGAATCGGGTCCAAATTGTCAATTAAAATGGAACGAGGTAAATAAGAGGGACAAGGTGGCCAGCGGTGCCCTCTGGGCAAGAAGGCAGGAGTCACCCTGAAGTTATCAACTCAAATCCCTCATCCTTTGGTGCTGGTACCACACAAGTCATTCCAGGAGTTTCCAGGAATGCTCTGAGTCCCACTCTCACTTGAAGCCGTCCAAGACCCGATGTTCTGTCCCTGGACTGGGTTGTCCCCTTTGGAGTACTAGGTGATCCAAGGTGGGCTGGCAGAGGCAAGGGCCCTGGGAGCTTGGTTCATCACCTCCCTGCCTGGGGATCCAACGCTCATCTAGATTTCCCCAGAACTGAGCACGTGGGGACCAGCGCCCTGGGCTGCACCAGAAAGACAGAGTCCACGTGCAGCCTACCTGTCTCAAAAGATGGCAGCAGAGCCCCAGGGAAGATGGGAACCAGCAGCTTCTTCAGGGATTGCGGTGATGTCCAATTCTGCCCTCCAGCTACCCATCCCCGCTTCTGATTTCGGGCTGGAAGGTGGCCGTGGGTTTCAGTGGAGCATGGACAGCATTGGGTCACAGCCACGCTGGTGCGCCAAACGGTTGCGGGGTCCTTGGGAGGGCAGGGGCTGGGTCCATGGGTCATGTGACTCTAAGTCTCCATGTGTGTCACATTAGCCCAGTCTGGGAATTGATCTAAGCTAAATAAGACCCGCCCCCAGGTGTTGATGGCCAAAAACACAGAGAAGACTCCAATGATGTTCATCAGGAGTCCCGCTTTCACCTGGACAAAAACAAAGGCAGCGTCAGCACCCTCAGGTCAGCCTGGGCTGCCCGCAAGGACAAACAGGACCCCAGGACCCAGGCTTCTCAGGGACAGGAGCTGCCTAGACATTGCCTCCTCTGTGCCATGCTCTCTGTTTATTGTGCCTCTGGCCCAGCAAAGCTGTGCCTGCCAAGTGCCAGACAGGACAGACAGCCTCCCTGTACCAATTCTGGCATTTGGAAAACTGGGTCTTGAGAAGGTAAGGTGCAGCGACAGTCCCAGGTGGTTGGTGGCATCCCAGGCAGTGTGATTCTAAGCCCGCAGCTCACCCAAAGCCTTGCTTCCTCACAAGGACCCACTGAGTTCCTGGTGACTTGCCCCTGGCTCTTTCTGACGCCTGTTCTGTGATCCTTCGCAATGCTGCTTCACTATGGCTGTAGCCACACGGTGAAGATTGGTTCCCGGAAACTGGAGTCAAATTGGCAGTCCATGGTTTCTAGAATCCGCCATTTCCCTCTTTGTGGAAATCCTCCGGGGGGAGGAGCATCAGAGCTGACTACGATGATATCTACACAACTCTTTTTAGAAGCAGGTTAGCTATGAAGTGCATGATATTTGAATAGTATATCAAGAAAACTATTGAAAAAAAAAAAAAAGAAGAAGAAGAAAAGCCAAGCTTGACCTATGGTTACCATGGGTGAAGGAGGAAGAGTTTTTGCTGAGGGGGCATTGCGTTCATGTTAATGGTGGTGGGACACTTGGGAGAGGGATGACAGTAATGGCTGCACAACAGGAAGAGTATCATCAATGGCCCCGAATCGTACGTGTACAAGTTGTTGAATTGGCGAATGTCTTGAGTATATTGTTGCCATCATTGGAAAAAAAAAATGCGTGCATCCCAATGAGTACAGGAAAAAAGAAAATGTTCTACAATGGACTGTGCTCAAGGCGGCACAACTCTTCTGGATACGGTTGAACTATTGAACCGTATGATGCGTGGATGAAGTGCCAGTAAGACTTGAAAAGAAAGAGCGAGAGAAAGCCGCGTGGAGCCTCAAAGATTCTCACCAAGGCTCCAACCTCCCAGGTTCGACCACCTTCCTGGTCCCTCTGCCTCATCGCCCACCCGGAGCAGCAAGGCTGCCCTCGCCTCCCATCAGAGGTGAAAAGAGCAAGGCAGGCAAGAGGGATTCTTCCTGCGACGGCGTCTGTTCCCAAGATATCACCCCCCTCTCCCCCCCCCTCTTTTGCGTCAACGCTTCAGACGCCTCTACGGGTCTCTTCCGCTGTCCTTGCCGTCCCCTCACCCTAAGCTTCGCCCCGCTTGACTCTGGGCTGGCAACGTGCTGGTGTAGGGATTCTATCCTTGACCACGTGGGTCTCCCACTCGCACCCCTTCCAAGTGTCCAGGGAGGGCACCCCTAGTGGACGCGTGGGCTTCTCTGGATGGGACATTCTGTCAACCACTGCTCAGCCTTGGAAGGCAACAGCCGGTGCTAGGGAAGAGGGAAGAATCCCTGGGTATTCTGTACCATCCCCAAACCTCAGGGCCTCCGTTTGAAACTCACACATCGTGCAAGCGAACCAGCACCGCCGTCTGAGGGGGAATAAAGAAGAGCAGGTGCGTTACCATGTCAGAAACTTTGAGGTGTCCGTAGGCAAACACGATGGCGTTGGGTGGGGTGGCCACGGGCAACATGAAGGCGAAGGAGGCGCTCAGGGTACAGGGGAGCATGGCGTAGAGTGGGTTGAGGCCAATGGAGCGTGACTAGGGAAAAACACAGCACCGCCACGTCGGGGATGCAGAAAACACATGTCATCCTTCTGAAAAGCATGCCCGCCCGATGCACCGCGCGCCCTCCCACCTGTGGACCTCCTCCCGGCTGGCTCCTCAGATTACCCTCCTGAGCCCTCAAAGCTGAACCCTGAGAGACCTTTCTGAGCCTCCACATCACCGAGCTTTTAAACACCTGCTATGGGCCAGCGGGGACAGTCATAGTTCAGCTCCGGAATTCTTGCCTTCCATAGTTGAGACCCACCTCTGAGTTCCAGCCAACGCGCCACACAGGCAGTGGCCACCCGTTCTCTCAGTGGAGGCGTGCACGTGGCTGAGGCTGAGCGAGTGGGTTTCCGTGGAGCTTCCAGGCTAAGGTGGCTCAAAAGAAATCCCCGGAGCACAACATCTGATCCCCTGAGCCAACTGGAAGGCAGCTAGTGGCAGCAACACATGCTAGAGTCGGTGCTGGACACTTAAGACGGCATAAAACCTTCCAGATGCCCCCACAGCCCACATGCTTGCTGAGCCACATGTCAGAGGCCAGCAGCACATGTCTGTCTGTCCTGCCAGAGACTCTGAGTTCCCAGAGGGTGGCGACCACACCTTCTGTCCATGCCTGCACCTGTGTACGTGTGTGTCTGTATGTGCGTCTGGGCTGTGCTCACTCCCACATGGAATTTTCTCCCTGCTGTTGTACTCTTCAGAGTCAAATCCAGCCACTTCTTACAGCGCCTAGCGCCAAGCAGGTCCCTTGTTAATAGGCGATGAATGAACACGTGATATCGTAGTAGTCATATTAATCTGTCAGTTATCACTGTCTATGAAAATTAACCATTTATCATGCAGAGGTGCATGCACTGGAGCACAGACACGCATGTGAAGCAAAGACGTTTACTGCAACATGGCAACAGCTAACTGCAGAGACCAGATGCATTCAAATAAAAATGCCGTGTACAGACAACAGACTAGTATGCAGCTATACAGAAGAATGAGGTCCATGTCATGGGCAGTAGGGAAACAGCTCTAAGATCTGTGACTAGGTCTGCTTGTTTAAAGGGGCAGACAAGATTGTGGTAGTTGCATAGTTTCATGCCAACTCGACGATATGAAAGTGTAGGGGTGGAGCTAGCCTGTCAGTCAAGCCACAAAGCCTGACGGTGCCTCCTTGTGGGCGAGACCTTCGCATATGGAGGATCCTGGGAACTCCCCCCTCGCGCCACCCCCCCCCCATCTGCTAGAGGACCCTGATGGGGGCCAGAACTCTGGAGATGCTGCCACCACCATGGTACCCACCAGAACTCTGCACCCACCGGCCTGTGACCTTCCGGAATCCTGCATCATTGCTTGTTGACTGCGTGGGTCCGAAGAGGGACTCGGGATAGATGGGACTTACGGACTTGAGTTGGGCTGGGCTGGGATGTTTTCCTGATATATGATCACTTCCTGATATAAAGCTCACTGGATTTGTTTCTCTAGTCAACCTGGCCTCACACAAAATATCATTTTTTCAAAGAATATTTTTTAGACCTAACCATAAATCTGAGAGATATTTATACATGTATATATACTTTGAAGACAAATGGTATAATTCTATGATCCTGTTCTGCACTTTAATTCCCCCCCCCAAAAAAAAACCAAACTATAGATTTTAGAGATCTTTCTGTATTATTAAATTTTCTTTAAAACTGACTTTCAACGACTTTATAGTCTGACATTGTATGAATATATGACATGAAACATGACCAGCTGTCTCACCAATCCCCTACTATAATGTTTTGTTATAAGTCATCTGGGGTGGACATCATGATAAGATGACCATCTCTGGTTATCTCCTGAAGCGTGCATCAAAAACATTGCTGTCAAGTCGGGTCTGACTCCTGGCGACCCGCTCGCTGTGTGCAGGGAGAGATGCTCCATCTGCTTTGCAGGCCTGGCTTCCCACACACCTCTGGGCGGGTTCAGACCTCCAGCTGTTCTGCTAGCCCATGGGTGCTTCACCCCGGGACTACCTCCCTTGGGGGCCACTCCCCTGGTTACCTCTTTGGCCTCATCTCCTGTAGATTCCCTACCAGAATGCTGCCTGTGCCCAGCAAGGCGCCTGAGCACCCTCAATCATGCACTCAATGTCCTTTAGCTGGCCGGCACCATTTCCCAGAAGGCCTCTGCTGTCCCGCTCCTTTATGAGTCCCACTTTCCTTGAAGACTCTTCTTGTGTGTCCTAGCCAGTAGCATCCCCCCTGCTTCTCCCACACCTCCATGCCCACCTCGTCAGAAACCCACTGCCTTCACTGGGATTGATCAAATGAAAATAATCCAGTGGCATTTATAAAATAAAGGGCGACCACCTGATATGTCTGATCTATGCTTCATACTCTGGTCAGCAGAAGACCCAGCCAAGCGTGGATGGTGGGACCAGTATCATGAAGGGGACACAAGTCAGTGTCCAGGTTGAACCTCAGTCTCCAAAGCCGAGTTTCACCCTGGTCCCTGATTTCTCTGCCTCCCGGCGGCTTCCTCTGAAAGACTGGCGGGTTCCTCCCCAGTCCCCAGGAGGGTACTTACCATCGAAGCAAAGATGGGCAGGAAGAGGGTGGTGGTGGCCACATTGCTGGTGCACTCAGTGAACAGAGCCACAAGCAGGGATAAAATCAAGGAGATGGCGGCTGGGGGCACGGCATGCAAAGGTTCCATCTGCTTCCCCATCCACTCAGACAGCCCCGAGGCCTGGGAAGCACAGGGAAGAATCACTCAGGGCTACTGGTGCTCAGTCTCTCCAGCGCCGCCCATCCAGCTCCAGCAAGACCGGCCCATCCTCCACTCCTGGTTTTGTGTGCGTGCGTGTGTGATCTCACCGACCCCCACCATTTCAACCTCTCCCCTCATTCTCCCGGCTCATTCATCTGTTCCAGCCCATTTGACCTACTTCCCAGATTTCAACACCAATATCCCTTCTAGAAATTTCCAACCACAGTGTTGCGTGAGCCTGTCAGACTCAATAGGTCTCAACCCGATTCATTCTTATCTGCGTCTCCTCTTTTGTCTCTCGTGAAGAATGGACTTAACCATCCATCGCTATCCAAAGCAGGAGGCTGGGAGTCAATGCTGGGGTGGGGGCGGGGCAGTTTCTTGGCCTCCCTCATTCCAAGATTCACCTGTTTATCCCAAACCTCCCATGTCTATCTCCTCCCTGCAGTCCTCGTTCTGAAGCTCGGGAGAGGGGTCTGGGCCAGAAGTTTGGGATTGAGAACTGAGGTGTTGGGCCGAGAAGAACTGACCTAGGGAGGGAATGGAAAGGGGGGCAGAAGGGCGCCAGAGAAGAGGTCAAGGACGGAGCTTGAAAACACTCGTTCAAGGAGGAATCGAGTAAACGTGAGCAAGAACAGCCCGGAGGAACCAGCAGAAAGTTCTAGCTGGGGGTCAAGGGAAGAGGGAAAATAGAGAGGACAATAAAACGGTCTATGGAGTCATCTGAGACTGGGGGGGGGGGCGATGACTATAAAATACCTAGTGCTTCTCCCCCCAACCCTTCTCCTGCCTGGACCAGCTCTCGAGCCAGCAGAGTGATTTTCCCCAGGTGCAGGTCTAGCCAAGGCCCTCCCTGGCCTCGATCCTCGCACGCTGTCCACTGCCTTCATGTTGGAGCCCATGCTTTCAATCCAAAGGCTGCACACTGCCGAGGCTCCTGCTAGCTCCCCAGCCTCCTCCTCGCCTTCCCTCAGCTACACACACCGTCCCTCTCCCTTTTCCCACGGGCCCCTTGTTCCTAAAATGTACTCTTCCTGTGTCCTCAAGAACAGGGGCTGTATCTCAGTGCCTCTGGGTCTGGCTTAACCTACCGGCATCATAGGCATGTTTGATGAATGGATGGAAGGTGGGGGGGCAGGATTACAGGGGAGGACTGGATGGATGGGTCTGCCATCCATTTGCTCATCTTGAACATTTATGACCAAAGCACAAACCCATCCGTCTTGGAAGAAGTCCAGCCAGAAGGCTCTTTAGAGGCAAGATGGCAAGACTGTGTCTCGCGTCTTTGGACATGTGGTCAGGAGAGGCCAGTCTCTGGAAAGGACATCATGTTTGGTAAAGCAGAGGGGCAGCCAAAAGGAGGAAGACCTTCAACAAGATGGATGGAAACAGTGGCTGCCTCGATGGGCTCCAACATTACAATGCTTGTAAAGACGGCGCGGGACAGGCAGTATTTCGTCCTGTTGTACACACGGTCACTAGGAGGTGGAGCTGACTTGACACGTGGTCTCGCCCCTCCCTCTGGCTCCATCCACCCTTAGGAGAGTAGGCGGTTGGGATAAAGTAAGCTACGTGTTTGAATCCCCCAACACGCTGAAAACGGGGTACCACCTTAGGAAACACCATCAACACAATCGATGTGATGCAGGAGCTCATTGATGGAGCCACTCCATCAACCCATCTCGTTGAAGGTCTTCCTCTCCCTTACCAAGCGTGCAGTCCTCCCCCAGGATCTGGTCTTTCCTGACAACATGTCCAAAGTTCTGCTCCTCTTACGCTGCTACTCAAGGAGCCCTGTGTTGGGCTGCAATCCGCCTGGTTGGCAGTTCGAAGCCACCAGCAACTTCAGGAGAGGCTGGGCTTTCTACGTCTGTAAACAGTTACGGTCCGGTGTGTCAGCGTTGCCACGATGGCAGCAAGGTTTGGGTTTGTTTGGGGTGGGGTTTCAGGGGTGTTTTTGGTATGCTGCTACTTACTTAGACCAGCATCTAAATGTGGTGACCACATCGACAAGTAGAAAAGCCAAAGATAGTGAACATATTGACCAGGACTTGAAAGATTTTCTGAGGATCAGTGAGCAGAGATTCCTGCTGCCTGTGTAAAACCCAGGAAGGTGCACACACTGCTATTAAGGAGATTCCAACTCTCAGCCACTCTCTAAAGGGGCTCAGAGAATGAGATAAAAAAAACCTACATCACCCCCCCAAAGGGACCTGATAGCGCCTTCTGCCTCTCTCGACCAACCGGGACCCCTTATTCGCCTGCCTGTCCCTACAATCCCTCCACAGGCATGCCTCTTGGTATGGGGCTCCTGGGTTACAAGACAGGCACAGGGACATGCAGCACAGAGAATTAGAGGGATGCAGGCTCTCTGGCCACCCTCTTGGTGGAAGAAGGGGCCGGTGGGCAGCCCAGGGCTGGAGGGGTTACCTCACATCCTTTAGCCAGAGCAAATCCGCCCCCCAGCAGTAGCACAATGCCCCAGGGCACTTTCTCGTGGGCCACCTTCCAATTCATCAGCGCAGGGGGGTAAAAGGGAGCTCTTCTTTCTGAGAAGAAAAAGAAAAACAAAACAAAAAACACTTTACTTGCATAACCTAGAACAAGACCAGAAAGCCAATGAGGTATAATTAAGAGGAGAGGGAAAAAAGTACTATCTCCCACGTGGTACACGTGTTTATGACAGGAGTTATATCCCCAGGTGACGAAAGTCCGATTTACACACAACTCGTAGTTATGAACCCGCCCTGTAAACTCAATTATATTAAAAGTTCGAAGGCCATACGGTGGTTCCTCCCAACCATTGGGCACGTCAGACTGCGTCCCAGTGGCAGTACTGTAACAGTAGGTGAATGGATGGGCAGTGGCTGTCGCAATGGGCCCACACCTGAACACACCTGTGAGGATGCGGGACTGGGAGGGGTTTTGTTTGGTCACTATGAGTCAGCGCTGACTCAGCACCTAACAGCATTATGTTCAAGATGCTTTAGGGTAGGTGGACCGGCCTCTTCCAGGGATAGCAAGGAACACTGTGTACGATACATGGGGCAGTTTCAAAAGCATTCGTGGACATTTTCCATTGCCCTTTCATAGATCCAGGAGCTTTTTGACACTCCCTCGGAAATGAAGATAAATACCGGACTAACTGGCATGAGATGCGAACCGCCTAACGTTTCTGATTTACACACACATCTGACTCAAAGACAGACTGTGGCGGGGACCTGGGGACGCCTGCATACCTACTGCTGGAGAGGAGACAGAAGCCGGGTCACCCCCACATTTCGTGGTACAACCTTTCCAGAGGCAATCTGAATATATAATCTTGTTTAAAAATCATTTTATTGGGGGCTCTTGCAGCTCTGATAATATTCCATACATGTGTATCTCTTTTTCTTGGGGCTGAGGTCCTCCCTTTGTGTGGGTAAATTTCTAGGAGTGACGGTGCTGGGTAAAAGAACATCCATGTGGTTGTGGCTCTTAAAATATATTGCCAGGAAAAAAGAGGAGCTGATACCAAGGGCTCAAGTGGGAAATGTTTTGGAAATGATGGTGGCAACATATGTACAAATATGCTTGATACATGTTGAATAAGGAAAATGTCCAAACAGCCCCCATGTTCTGCAACAAAAGAATGGTCATGGTTCCTCCATGCAGAAAAGACCGGGACTGACTGTGGTTACAGGGGAGGCGTTTCTACTGTAACCCCGAGCGGCAACGAGCAACAACAAAGAACCCAGACGCAGGATTCAAATTGCGTGTATGATTACCATCATGTAACTTACATGCCTAGTAGCCATGACTGGGAGCGGGAAAATGAACACTGACAGCACTGGGAGAATTTTAAAACATCTTCCTTTTCCTGTTAGAAGGATTGTTTAAAATTCACATTTTTAATATGCAAACAAAGGGATCTGTGTTAAGCAACACCCAGGAAAAAAAACCTTAAAAAAACCCCTCTCATGGCAACAAATGTACATATGTGCTTGACACGACGGATGGATGGATGGATTGTGATAAGAATTGTATGAGTCCCCAATAAAATGATTTTTAAAAAACCCAAAAAGAGCCCCTCTCTCAGGTTTGGGGATCCAATGAGTCCTTTACCATCGGATGGAGTTTCTGCCTCCTAGGCCTGGCGTCTTGGGCAACTAGGATGAGTGGGTGGTCAAGACCAGGGCCTTACCTTCCTCAGACTGACTGCAGAAGTTGAACTTGGGCTTCTGCGCAGGCACGATGAACAGTAAGATGGCCACGAAGACGGCCACCGTGGCATCCGAGGCGTACCTGGGTGGCAGAACCAGTCATGACTAATCAGTTGCCAAAAGGAGGTCAAGGGCTGACTGGGGAATAGACCATCAATTAATTGCTCATAGGTGAGTTCACAGTGGAACTGAATAAGATTAAAACAAATCCACGAGTCACCGTGTGACACGACTGTATCCCTCTTGCATTGTGAGCATCTCAAGAATAGATGTAACTCGTTGAGCACGAATGACAGGAGCCCTGATGTGCGGTGGGAAGAGCTCAAGGATATCGTGCATGGAGAGAGCAAGAGTCGTTCAGGAGATAAGAATGACAGAAAAGGTCAAAGTGGATGTCAGAAGAAACCATCGAACTTGTTTTGAATGTAGAGTAGCTAAAGCAATTGGAAGAAATGGGGAAGTAGAAGAGCTGAGTGGAAATTTTCAAAGGGCAGCTCAAAAGCCAATGATAACTGAAGGAAGAAGTCCAAGCTGCATGGAAGGCATTGTTAGCAAAAAAAAGAGAAAGAAAGAAAACAAATCTCCAGGAATTAGTGGCATGTCAATTGAAATGTGTCCACAAGCTGATGAAGCACTGAAAGCACTCATTCACCTATGCCAGGAAATTTGAAAAACTTCTACTTAGCCAACCCACTGGAAGAGATCTATATTAGTGTCTATTCCAAAGAAAGGTGGCCCAACAGGATGCAGAAATTGGTGAACAATATCATTAATATATACAGCTAAGATTTTACTGAAGATAACTCAACAACAGTCACAATAGTGCATTGACAGGAAGCGGCCAAAAATTCAAGCAGAAGAGAACATGGAGCAAGGGATATTATTTCAGATGTCAGATGGCTCTTGGCTGAAAGCAGAGAATGCCCGAAAGATGTTCACTTGTGTTTTATTGATTATGCCAAGGCATTCAACTACGTGGATCCCAATAAACGATGGACAACATTGAGAAGAATGGGAATTCCAGAACACTTCATTGTGTTCGTGCAGAACCTGAACCTGGACCAAAAGGCAGCGTACAAACAGAACAAGGGATACTGCATGTTTGAAAATCAGGAAAGGTGGGGGTTAGACTTACACCCATTCATCATCACTTTTTTAATGTGCATACTGAGCAAATGATCTGAAAAGTTGGACTATATAAAGAAGAACAAGGCGTCAGGACTGGAAGAAGGCTTATTAACAACCCGTGATACGCAGATGGCACCACCTTGCTTGCTGCAGGTGAGGGACTCGGCGGAGCACCTGCTGATGAAGGTCAAGGACTGCAAACTTCCATATGGATTCCAGCTCAACGTAAAGAAAACCAAAAGCCTGGTGAATCTTGGGAACTGCAGCAAAGACCTAAGGTGTCGGGGATTTCATTTCGCGTGGGACCACAGTCAGTGCTCATGGAAGCAGCAAGCAAGGAAGGAGGCCCAAGACCTCTTTAAAGAGCGAGGCTGTCACTTGGAGGACTAAGATGCACCTGACGTAAGCCATGGGATCTTCAAGTGCACGTGAAAGTTGGGCAATGCAAAAGGGAGACCGGACAAGAATCGATGCGTTGGAATGATGGGGTTGGCGAAGAATCTGACAAAGGATGGTGGACCGCAAGACCAAGCAACTCTGCTTCAGAAGCAGGACAGCCAGAGTGCTGCTTAGACGGGAAGATGCTGAGACTGCCTCACTTACTCCGGACAGGTTAGCTCTCAAGAGACGCCAGTTCCTGGAAAAGGACATCAACCTTGGTAAGGAGAAGGTCCGTGGAAAAGAAAAAAGGAGAGACGGAGGTGCACTGACTCCGTGGCTGCGCCAATGGGCTCACACGTGGTGATGGTGAGGACGGTGCAGGACCAGGCAGTGGTCCTTCTGTCGTGCGTGGGTGGTGATGAACTGGAACTGCCTTGACAGCACCTCACGAGAACAGGCCAATTTCACCTCCTCTAAGGTGGGGGGTCGGAGGGGGAGTAAAATAACGAAACAAAAGAAACAGCTGCAAGGGGGCCCACACACTGGAGTTCGGAGAAGGAAGGTGGTAAATGGAGTGCTGGTTGGAAACTGAGGCCCACGTTCTTGGCTTGGCTCTGCCACCAATTTTGGGTGGCCTTGAGTGGACTCCTTCCTTCCCTCTCCTGGCCTGCAGGGCTTCATGGGTAGACTCTGGAACCTTCTCTTTCCCAGATCCTCGAGAATGCTGGGCTCACCAGAGTGAGGTTTCGAATTTCGCTTCACCAGAAGAATTTGGTCAAGGAATGTGGTTTTTACCCTTGGTTCCTGAAAGGCATTCTCTTGGTAAATTAAAAGCAAACCAACCAACCTTGGAATTCAAGTGTCCGCACTGATAAGCCCTGGAGACCACACCTAAGAGGTTATGTCGCTGAGGTGATGGGGAATAGTCTAGGGTGGAGATTAGCCAGGACCGATAAAATCGTCACATGGTAGGGACTTTGTGATTGCTCACATTGACCTGGCTCAGAGGGAGGGGCTGAAGTCTGCATTCCCCTGAAGGCAGGCTCTGGAAGAAGACTTTCCGTGAACTTCCTGGTTGGTGGAAAGTGTGTGCTTTTAGGAGGATGAAGCACCTTCTTTTGGAGACAGAAACTTGGCATTGAGAGCCCTCCCACACCTCACCCAAAGGAGCATCTCTTCTTTATGGGGATCTTGCTTTTTAGCCTTCATTCCCACTACCGTCCAGCTGATTCTGACCCATAGCAACCCTGTAGGATCGAGTAGCACGGCTTCATGAAGTGTCCGAGGCTGGCCCTCCTCGTGGAAGCAGGCTTGTCTTCCTCCTGCAGAGTTGGCTGGTGGGCTCAAATCACTGATTTAGGAGTTAGCAGACAAGCACTTCACCCACTGCACTACCAGGGCTCCTTCTACCAGGATTGTCATCCTCAGTACAGCACTTGCTGTGAATTCTGTCATGCATCCTAGCAAAGTTATCAAATCTGACAGAGGAGCGAGAGCTGAGAGGTGCCGGGAACCCCTGAGCTTGTGGTAGAGGGAACTCCAGAACTTAAGGAGGCCCAGGGAACCCCCAAGTTTGCAACAGGCACCCTGAAGGGTTACTAGGAAAATCCTAAAATTGTAGTTCAAGATCAGAGGCGAAGGAGTCATGGAGATTGTCAAGGTTGCAGCTGCCTCCGCGGTGGTGGGCAGCCATGACTGGTGAGCTCTGACCGGGCTCGGCGGGTAGGGTCAGAGAAGAAATGCTCTGTGTGCAGCTGGTGCCCAAGTGGAACAGAGAAGTCACGATGGGCGATGATGAGATCAGAAAAGGTGGTATTTCTGACCATTTCTGCACGTAACCACAAGGTTAACCCAACTAGACCTTCCAAATGGAGCAGCCTACCGTAGGCTGCCATCTGTCCACATCTTCTGCCTTGATTAGAATGGAAACCTTCTTCCACCCTGGCAACCTCTGAACGGGGAGAGAAATGACAGATGCCCAAGCCTATCTCAAGAAGCTTCCTTTTGAACCTGGAGATGAGTCTGGGGAGGCCTTCGCCCAGAGTCCAAGGGAAGAACAGTGGCAGAGTTGAGACACCCAAGCTTTGGAAGCCCAACGCCTTACCCAACAAAGCTCTCTCTACCCCAGCCCGGCCAAGTAGTTTTGCTCAGCCTGTTGAGAGAAGAGAGTGGCTCGTGTCATCATGTGCCCTCTGAAACGCAACTCCAGAACAAATGTCATGGTCCAACCAATCCCGAGTGACCCGTGGCCCAGGACACAGCCTTCTGATACCCGCCCACCACAGCACGAGGCCAGAGGGCTCTGCGGCACCAACAACTCACTTGGTGTTGCCTTCCACCCAGGCGATGGACATCCAGCCGGGCATGAAGCCGGGGTCTCGGGAGAACCACAGGACCACCAGCAGGATGAAGCAGAGCAGGACGTTGGTCTCAGCGAAGGTGAAGGGCCCCAGCTTCCTGTATTCTTCCTGCAGCACTTCCTTGGCGATATCCTCACAGCTCTCCCTCTTGTTTCCGCAGCCCCACGCGGCCTTAAAACTAGAGGGGAAAAGAGAAAAACAGACCCACACCCGAGAACACAAGCTATCAACAGGGTGGATACCAAAGCACGGGGGGACACGTGCCACGGCCTATTGGTCAGCCGTCATGAGAAACGATGGCGATGGAACCACGGAGAGGCTGATGTGCTAAAGGCGCAAATGTTGTATGACTCTGCTTAAATGAACGCTCTCCACTAGGCACAGGCACCAGGGCCAATGCGTGGTCGGTGACCAGGAGGGAGATGGAAAGTTATTGCTTACTGGGCACTGAGTTTCCGTTTGCGTGTATGTGTGTGTGTTGGGGGTTGTTGGGGTGGGGAATGAAAACCTTTTGGGGGTACTAAGGGGCTCCAAAGAGTGTGTGGGGCAATCCCCTGATCTTTTTATTCCATGTTCCCCACCAGTGTTTTTGAAGCCCTTTCCTATCTCCCAACGGTTTCACCGCCCTCTGTGGCCATGGTTGCCCCACGTAGGGGGTGGAAGCCACGTCACTGAATCATGCACTTAAAATGGCCCAGGAACACAGATGAGTGAGGGGCATGTCTTGCGTGGCAGAGCAGATGGGTGGCTCAGGTGCTGGCCAGTTCAGGCAGACACCTGCGTGTTGGGAACCACCGAGGGCAGAGGCCGGCAGGGCGGCCTCGGGCTGCACACACCTCCTTAGCTCTTCCCGCCTCTGCCACGGCTGTCTGACCTACCTAGCAGGATGTAGGGGATGACTCCGCCAGCATTGAGGGGCCTCTCTGCCCCTCTCTGCCCTTGCCGCCTCGGCGCTGTGGCCACTACTCTACCAAGCACTCATCTCCTGGCCCTTGTCGTTCTAGAGATTCTGGGGCAAGGCCAGGGGCCTCCGGTGTCCAGGACGAGGAGTGAGCTAGCCTGGAGCCGGGGGCCACATTGGGCACTGGCTACCTGTCCCCGACTCTCAGAGGCTGCAGACTGGGGCTGCATGGTCTAGGCCAGAGGTCGGCAAACTGGTGAGACAGGATCCTGTCCCTCCCAATTTAAAAATTATTCAAGAGCCATAAATACATTCTGACAAACAAACGAGATCGCCATTGTCCAAATGATACCCTTTAAATGACACTGGGATCGCTTTACGGTCAGTTTCCGTTTGACTTGAGGCCCCTGGGCCTACTCAGAGCCGCCATTTGCCGACCACTGGTCGACAGTCGTCTGAACTTGGTCCGTACCCAGTAGTGTGTTCCGGTCTTCACCCCATCCTGGGGTCAATTCTGTCATCTGAGGAGCACTGGCCGGAGGTGCAGCCGCCACATGGATCCAGTTTCCCTAGGGGAGCCCCGGTGGACCGGTGGGGACCAAAGTGTCCTGCTAGAGCAGTCCTCAGCAGGGTGCCAGTGACCCTGGGCAGGAGAGCCCTGGCTGCCTCCACCGTGGCCCCAAGGGACCCTCCCCTCTGTTTCAGGAGGCTGGACTGAGCAGGAAAGTTGGGCAAAAACCAGTGGTAACATCCCACGTGGGGAGTCTGAATGGTTCACACGCTTGGCTCTTACTGAAAGGGTGGCGGTTCGAGTCCACTCGGAGGTGCTTTTGAATAGAATGGCTCGATGACCAGCTTCTAAGAAACGAGCCACTGGAAACCCCGGGGAGCACAGTCCAACGCGGACACACAAGGGGCCACCGTGAGTCACAGTTGACGCGCAAGCAACAGGGTTGACTACATTAATATTCCATGTAGCCCTGGGTGGTCCTGCGGCGTGGGGAGCAGAGTTCTGTGGCCCCCTTGGGTTGGATGTGGGCTTGGAAGTTGACCAGAAACTCAGGTCTAGCAGTGACCTTGGGATTATTGTCCATGACCATGTGATGAGGACAAGACATCATGACAGCAGAGGTGCTTCCTGCACCTGAGATACTCACTGGCCTCAGGAGAGGCCATCCAGGAGGCCAGGAGAAGGAGGTCACCAGATCTTGGTGTATGGCAAGATATGGCCTGGGCCAGAGGCCATCGCTGAGGCTGAGTGTGAAAAGGTGTCCGTCTCTCTCCCCACCTGGGATCTAAGAGGAGCACTGATTGGTGGCCATGGCTACACGTTGGGCTGCTAACCACAAGGTCTGCAGTTCAAAACCACCAGTCACTCTGAGGGAGAAAGAGGAGGCTATCTACTCCCTCCAGAGTCTCGGAAACTCACAGGGGCAGGTCTACTTTGTCCTATAGGGCTGCTGAGTTAGTGTTGGCTTGACGGCAGTGAGTCTGGTGTTGGGTTTTCTGGGGTCTAAATAAGGCTTCATGGGTGCCCCCTCCCCACCACCCTCCATCCCTGTCCCATTCAGGCTCCACATCTGAGTGATGTGGCTTGTCAGTGGAACCACAGTGGAACTGCAGGTCAGGAAGGGGTGGAATTCAGCGGGATGCTCCGCAGGCTCCCTAGAAGCCAAGAAGAACTGATGGGGGACACGCAGCTTCAGGCTCTTGGCTGGGAACATCCTGGCACCTGACACACCATGGCTGGACATGAGGTGGATGGTCCTCCCGTGGCCTTGGGGACAAGCCAGTCCCTCTGCCCCTGGGTGAAATTCACTGCATTTCAGGACTCCAGAGCATCCCCGAGCTGCTGCGGGGAGAGGGGAGTCTACACCAGCACCTCTGACACCAGCCTATGGAGTCTAGAGTGGCCCACTGCCCAGCCTGGCTGGCACGGGACCCAGAGAGCATGCGCCAGCAGCAGGCGTCAAGGGGAGCAAACGTGGCACTCTCCAGAGGAGATGAGATGTGGTGGCTAGTGTAGAGGGCACAGGTGCTGGGGCCCAGCCTCCTGGATACACACCCTGCCTAGCATCTCTAACCTCTCCTCACCTCAGTTTCCTTTCCTGTAAATTGAGCAGAATAATAGCCTAACCTAAGAGTGTCGGGAAGATGAATGTGCCTCCTATAGGTAAAGTACACCACGGAGCTCCTGCCCCACATAAAAGCCCAAACCGAGTGGACTCTGATTCACAGCGACTCCATAGGACAGAGTAGAACCGCTCCGTAGGGTATCAGATATGGTAAATCTTTCCAGAAACAGGCCCTCTCTTTGCCACGTCCCCACCCCCTCACAGAGGACCTGCCAGGTTCGAAGTGCTGAGCTGTTAGCGACCCTAACCCAAAGCCATGGTGCCACGAAGGAGGGTTCTTTAGTACTGATAAAAAGGCCCCCGATTATCAAGGGCTCATGAGGAAGCGGGGAGCGGGGAGGGAGGGGGGAAAAAAGAGGACCTGATGCCAGGGGCTTAAGTGGAGAGCAAATGTTTTGAGAATGATGAGGGCAATGAATGTACAAATGTGCATTACACAATTGATGTATGTATGGATTGTGATAAGAGTTGTATGAGCCCCTAATAAAACGATTAAAAAATAAATAAACTAAACTAAAAAAATAAATTAAAAAAAAAAAAAGCTCTCGAAGCCACTAAGCCACTGGCTATCTTCAAGTGGGTTCTGACTCACAGGGACCCCATAGCCCAGAGGAGAACTGCCATTGTGGGTTTCTGAGACAGTCGCTCCTGACAGCATAGCCCTCGGAGAAGCTGCTTGTTTCTAGCCGCTGACCTGGCAGCTGAGCACGTAGCCACTCCTCCTCTCTGGTCTTAGTGTTCTTGTCGCCCCACAAGGAGACACAGGCACCGCTCTGGAGCCTGCAGCAGGCTTGGACCAGGTCTCCTGAGCGGTCTGCGGACAGGACAGGAGCAAGCAAGCAGGGCAGCCCCGGAGTCGGTGAGAGGCAGGGCAAAGACAGCCATTGTCTGGACCGCTGTCTTCTCTTCTCTGGGGCTGTGCACACACCAGGACCGTGGGTGTTGGGGGACAGGTGGGGAAGGGTTGCCAGGAATGCCTACTCGGGAGACAACGGCGACGGGATTGACCCAGATGAAGATGCTGCCACTGTCTGGATTCTCAAAACACAACACAACAGCAGGCTTTCGAAACAGCCCCATCCTCCAGGGCCCAAACCCAGGGAAATGCTTCATTTCCCCCCTTCCTGCAGAGCTGCTCACAGGCACCCGTCTCCAGCCCCTTGCGGTCCTCAGTGTGAGTGCCCTGTGCATGAACGCATCGAGCAGGCGGCTCCTGGATCAGCTCTTTGCATCCCTCCCTGAATGAGATCACCTTTCCACCCTGGCTTTTAAAATCACCGGGACTCTGCCTTTGTGTTTTCCAACCACCGTTGTAGGGTGTCTGTCCAAAGTCTGGCTTCTCTTAATGTTGCCTATGGTGAACGTGCCTGGGTGCTGGGAATGGGAAGGGCACCTTCCCAGAAGCTGGCTGTGTTGGGAACACCGCAGGCTTCCGGTAAAGGTCAGGCTGTCATGATTGAGACATCACTGCAGGGGTGACGTGGTGGGGTAATGTTGCTGGGACCTGACTAGTGGACACGTGCAGTCTCGTAGATGCTGGTCCAGGAATGCAGGTTTGGCACAGAGCTGAGCAAACACACCTGCCCTTTCTTCTCTGCACCAGGTGCAGCAGGGGTCAGAGAGGACTGGTCACAAGCCCTGCCCTTGTGGAGCAAAAGGTCAGGGGATGGGCAGCACAGGTACCAGTGATGGGACCGGGAGATGCCCAGCGGCACCCAGAGGACCAGTTCTTCTGAGATGGAAGGGGGGTGGAGAAAAGCCAGGGTGGGTGTCACTGAGGAAGCGGCATTTGAACTGAGCCGTGAAGGCTGAGGCACTGGGAAGAAAAGGGAGGATGGTAGGAATCATGGCATTCCAGAAAGAGGGAGCTAAAACAAACAAACAACAGCCTCACTGCCTTCAAGTGGATGGCAAATTCATGGTGACCTGCTAGGGCAGGGCAGAGCGTAGGTTTCCCAGGAGTAGAAAGCCCCATCTTCCTCTCTCTGAATGGCTCGTGGTTTCGAACTGCCAACCTTTAGTGAGTAACCCAACGCATAATCCACTGGGCCACCAGGGTTCCGTGTAGGAAGAGGGAACAGACTGTGCAAAGGCCCAGGGAGCCGCTGGGGCAGGAGGAGAGGGCCGTGGTGGGAAGCCGACTGCGACCCAGGTCCCAGTCTGTGACCCAGACTCGAACTTGGACAAGCCCGCGGCTGAGCCCGGGGGCTTGTCCGCAGGGTGTGGCATGACCGACCCTTCCCTAACATAAGGTGATCAGATTTAAAGCGGGTCACCATTGGTGGGGGAGGAGGGGGCGCGGTTTCTTAATTAAAAATTTGGTTTATATGGACCAAATAGACCATTCCCTAGCTGGTCGTGCATTCTTTCTAAAAATCGGGACTTTTTTAAAACGCCAAAAGCGGGACGTCTGGTCACCTTATCCTAACAGCTCACACTTACTTGAATTTCATAAAAAGACACTGGATCCACAGCCAGGCCAGCAGCAGCATTATCAGCATATTGGGGAAGGCAAAGCCAAACCAAGAGGCAAAGTTCACGATGTCTTTACTGGCAGGGAACAACCTGTGAGGGAGAAACACCAGGTTCAACTCGGAGCTGTGGAGCAGCGAGGCTGCCAGGGCCCACCGGTTTCCACCCACCCAGGCTCCTGGCCTGTCCCTTCCCCTCCCAGCTTCTGTGCCAGCTGCCCTTCCCACTCCTGGGCAGAGCTCTTTTCCACCAAGGAGAAATGCCATCTGATCCGTGTCCTCCTTGGGCGCACTGCAATCGGTACCTATCTCAACGAATGCACTTACCCACCTGCTTAGAACTTTCTAACATCTGCCACCTTCGGGAGGGAGACCATGAGTCCCACATGGGCACAGCCTGGATTTCTCTCACTTCACACCAGGCCTACAACTAAGGTCCTCAGGGCCCGCAGCCCTTTGTGGCCAAGGCTGGAAAGTGCCAACCCATCTCTACGGTCCCCCTGGGGCCTCATGAGAACGAATTGCCCTTGATAGTCACATCATCCAATTAGTGGGTCAGTTAACGGGGGTCCCGCGCACTGTCAAAAGAACAAACAAGTCTGTCTTGGAAGAAGTTCAGCCAGAATTCTTAGAGGCAAAGGCGGTGAGACTTTGTCTCACATACTTTGACCATGTTGTCAGGAGAGACCAGGCGCTGGAGAAGGACATCATGCTTGGTCAAGTTGAGGGACAGCGAAAGAGAGGGAGGCCCTCGGCAAGGTGGACTGACACCGTAGCTGCACCGATGGACTCAAACAGAAGAACCAGTCCGAGGTTGGCGGTGTTTCGTTGTGTGGTACACAGGGCGGATGGGAGTCGGAACCGACCTGAATGGGGCCTAACAACAAGAACCAAGCGATCGAGACGGTGAGGCTCTGAGAGACCTAACTCTGGGCCTATCTCCCATCTATGCCCATGGCCACTGAGCGGATGCCAAGTTTCTCCGCCTTATGGAGGATTCCCAAGCCAGGGGGGTTGAATCGCCAACCCGGAGTGCAGTCCTGTAGATCTCTGATACCATCAGCCCTCACGGAGAACAACCCAAGTTTGCCGTACGCTGGCAGCTTGGGTGCTGCTGGGAAACCCTGGAAGGCTATGGCCCTGGTACTTCAAAGGAACGTGCAGATTGAGAAAGACTGGGAAGGAAGGCCTGGGGATCGACTTGTGAAAAGTAGCCACTGTGAACCTTAGGAGTTGCAGGAGAAGACCATCTGGTGTTTCTAGTGCGGGTTGGAAGAGACCCCGCCCCAGCCCCATGATGGATGACAGCATCCCGAGGGGTCCTGCAGGCGATGTGAGCTGGGGAGCATTCCGCCCAGGAAGTTCTGCTACAAAGTCTCCGTGAGTTGGGGTCAACTCAGTGCCCAGAAAACGACAATTTCTGCCAGGCTGAATCCAACCACTGCCCTCGAGTCAGCTCTGACTCACAGCGACCCTACGGGGCAGGGTCCAACTGCCCCTTGTGGGTTTCTGAGGCTGGAAATCTTTACAGGAGTAGACAGCCCCCTCTTCCTCCTGCAGAGCAGCTGGTGGTTTCGAACTACAATCCGACGAGTCACCTGCTGTGTCGCCAGGGCTCCTTAGCTGGGAACATGGTGACACCTCCACCACTTTAGCTCAGAGTTCACATGATGCTCCCTCTCCGTCTGGGAATCGGTGGCCCAGGGAAGAAAGAGTCGGTCCTCATTTAACCCAGGTCCTCATTTAACCCAGCCCTGGGACTCCCAGCTGCACGGAGGACTTCCGTGTTGGTGCTGGGGTGCCGGTGCCCAAGGCTGGATGGGGCCACCTCTTCCCACCCGGCTGTAGGGTGAGGGGAAGGGAGTGGAGGCAGGTCCTCCAGCCCCAAGCCCCCCTCTGGAAGGTAGGGCCAGTGACTTACTCCTGCATCTGACCCTGGAGCACCACGTTGGGTCCCGTCCCGGTCAGGGTGGCCGTGCCGCCGATGCTGGCTGCGTAGCACACACTCAGCATCATGGCCTTGCCCAAGTTCTTCCTGTGCTCGTTGTCCTGCTGTCCCATGGCTGGGCCTTCGAAAACCACTTGGGTCCCTGTGGCGGGCGCATAGGCTATTAGGTGCTGCATTCAGGCCTACGCTGGTCCTGGGAGTCACTGCCCACTCCAGTCAGCTCCTGACTCTGCTGCTGACCTGCAGCGTGGGGTACCCCTCCCGACCCATCTAGATCCCTTGTCTTGCTTTCTCAGCCTCCAGACTGATCCCGTCTGCCTTCCCAAAGGCTCCCCTAAGACCCCCGACACTCCATCCAAATGCTTTCCCATCTCCCTGCTGGTGCTCAAGCATCTCCTTCCATCTAGGAGGGCCCTTCTCATCCCGCCTCCTCTCTGGGGGCATCCACGTCCACCCCAAATGTCCTCTCCTCTTGGCCAGGTCCTGCTCTTTTCCTCTCTCTCTCAGCATCTGGGATATGGATGGATGTGGTTCCACCCAAATCAGGAAGAGGGAGGAGTATGCTATTTATTCTCCAAGGATCCTGCACCCTAGGGAGCGTTCTGTGTTCCCTAGGCCCCGAGTTCCCCTGTGCTGGTCAGAGTGCCAGCCCTAGGAGGCAGGGTAGCACGCGAGGCAGAGGAACTTGGCACCCAGCAGGGAAGTAGCACTGGGCAGCAAGCCCCAGGACCCATGGGAGCTGACAGTGCGGGGAGTTACCCGTCCAAAGTCAGAGGATGAGCAGGGGTGGCAAGAGCTGATAGGCACCCGGGAGGGACTCAGGTGCTGCTGGATGAGGAGTGAGCAGCCAGGTGGGGCTGAGCTGGTGATTTCTGATTGGCAGGAACTGGGTGGGACCTTGTTACAAGCTCCACTAGAGGAAATACACTACCACAAGCATCTAGCCGTGGGGGGCCAGAATTGCATTCCAGAAACACAGGAGAAGATGTTTTTCTCCATATTCTTGTCCAAGAGTATGGAAAGGAGGGCTCTAGGAGGCTGGGAAAGGGCGTCGGGGAGCTGGAAAGCTAAGTGGGGTAGGCTGCCATCACGGGGCTCACCCGGCAGCTCGCTGTTCTTGGCCTTCTCCGCCAGCTCCAGCTCAGTGGCTGTCCTCCTGGTCTCCATCTCCTGCAGCATGGCCTCCACGATGGGCACCATCATGGCCGTGGTGGCCGTGTTGCTGATCCACATGGACAGGAAGGCGGTGACGCCCATGAAGCCCAGCATCAGCCTGTAAAGGAGGAGCAGGGAGGGAAGTCCAAGGGTCTTCCCCCACCCCCTCACCACTTCCACCCTGAGGTAGAGTCCTAGGGGGGCAGGTCCACCCGCAGGGATTCATGGTACCAGCACAGACCAAAGTCCCCGGGCCACGTCCACTCCACAATGGGTCTTCTGAGAGTGAGTGTGTCTTCTCCCTCCCATCTTTTCTTCCTTCCTGCCTTCTTCCTGCCCACCTCCCATGAGTGTACGGATGTCTACATGGATGTCTACTCTGTCGGCTGCCGGGGTCAGTAAGAGGGGCCTGGGCCTGGCGGTAGTGCTAAGGAGGACCACCATCGAGTGGGAGATGTGAGGCATCCAGGTGGCGCACCAATGGAAGCGTCTGTTCTTAGATGGCAGCCGAGGCCCGGAAGAGCACAGAGCAGGTGTGTGATCAAGCAGCCCTGCGTACTGCGTACAGGCAGCCCAGGCTCCCCGCCTCCGAGTGGGAGGTGTCCACCCATCCCAGATCCTGACTCCCCTCTCCTCAGTTGAGAAGGGTGACGCAGAGTCACCCTTCAAGGGTGGGGAGAGCCAGGGAGGCATGACCTCCCTCCTGGCTGATCCCACCACTGCTGTCCCTCTCTCCACACCGAGTTTTCCCCTCTCTCCACCCTGCGAGGGACCAGATCAAACAAAACAGTATTCGGCAAAGAGGTTCCTTTTGCTCACGACACACAATCACTCACCACTGCCCCCCACCCCCCACCCGCCCCCCGACTTCTGCCACTTGCCTGGAAGGCCTCACAGTCTTTCAAAACCTGCTCAGACCACTGTCTTCAGGGGCCCTCCCTCCCAGTGCGTGCCACCAGGCTGGATGGGGAGAAGCTGCTTCCACATCTGCACTCAGCTTAGAGACTGAGCTTCTCCAGCGCAGGGGTAAGGTCCCACACTCCTCTATGGCGCCCCCTCAGCCCGGGGCAAGGCCAAAACAACAAACTCACTGTCCATGGAGTCAATGCCGACCCAAAGCAACCTGTCGGACAGGGTCGAACTGCCCAGGGGAGTGCCTAAGACTGTCACTGTTTCCTGGACCACGAAGTCCCATCTTTGTCCCACAGGGCAGCTGGTGCTTTCAAACTGCCCAGCAGAGCAATGTGCCACCTCCTTACCCACTGGTGTAAGGCCAGGAATGACAAGGCTGGGAGGGAGGAGGGCTGGCCGAATGGAACGCAACTGCTCTCTGCCTCTGTGGCCCCTGCTGTCAGGCCTCTCCCAAGGGCGTTCACTTGCCAAGGAGTAGGAGCCTGAAGGAGGGATTTGGAAGCACACTTCCCCGAGGCTCAGGCTCGTGTTTGGACTCTAAAAGCACAGGCTGGCACGCAGGCAGGCAGGAGAGGCGTCCGACAGGGCGAGGGTTGGCGTGCAAACAGTTGCCCAAGAAGGTTCGTGGTGTTTTAAGACACCAAGGGGGTCTCAGCATGAAGGCGGCCCCGGGTAGGTAGTGCTGTGGACAGTGCGTGATGGAGCACTGAAGGGGAGCCGGGAGCTGGGTAGGAGCAGGGAAGCCTGTGTGATGATCGGGGATCTGGAAGCAGAGCTCTCCGGGCACTCCAGAGTGAGGGCCCTGTAGGGGTCCCACACACCTGATGGCGGAAAGCAGCCCGCTCCGGAGGCCCCGACCCTCCCCCACATTTCTAGAACATCGGTCCTTGAAAGCGAGAGAAACTTGACGCCTCCGAGCTGCCAGACCAGTTCAACCCCTCAGTGGGTTCTCCCTGGCATGGAGGGAGACCAGGGAACCTCCCAGGGAGCCCTGGGAGTCCGTGGGGAAGGGGGAGGGCCGGCACAGGCGCTGTGCATCCGGGGCCTGCATCATCCCTAGCAGGAGGCTGTCTCGGAGGTTCCTGGCTGCTGTTGGGTCCTATCGAGTCCGTTCAGACTTGTAGCGCCCCCAAGGGACAGCGTGGAACTGTGCCCACAGGTTTGTTTGGTTGTGAGACCCCGGGTGTACCTACTAGGACCGAACCAGCAGCTTGAGGGAAACGGTGGTCCCAAGCAACCTTTATCGGCTAACAAGAAGTCACCAGGGAAGCATCTCCAGGGAGGAGGGACGTTGCTTCAAAGAAAGCTGCATCCTGAGTTTCTAAGGAGAGGGCACCTCTAGGGGCAGGCATCCATCCAACAGACTGGGTCTCATCCCCATATGACCAGGAGCGAATCATTTAACTTCTGTCTCTAAGGCCTCGCCTCCACCTATAAAATGTGGTACTAGGGCATAATCCCCTCCTCCCTCGCACAGGTGTGCTGAGACCGGGATGAGGGCAGACATGTGAAGCCCCCAGGATCAAGCCTGGGGGTGGGAGACACACCATAGAACCAGGTGATCCTGGCTCCATTGATTGGTTGGAGGTGGCCCAGGTGCTGACCACCAGTGGGGAGGGCGCGGGGTAACAGCTGTGAGTGATGGGAGGAAGGTGGAGCTTCTGTCCAGACGACATGGATGTCTCCGCTCTGGAAGATGGCCTGACTGCTTCCCTTGAGATAAGCCACCTCTGGTCTGCCTTTCCTCACAAGGCCCCTTCAGGCATAGCTAGACCCAGCTTCCAAGCCCCCCTCCAACACCCACCTTTTCCAGTGGAACCCTGCCGCCCCCTCCCCAAGGACCCGTCCTTACATGGACTCTCAAGCACCTGCTCCCTACCCACAGTTGCCCACCCTCTGCCACTCTCATCGCCCATGCATCTGCGCCCCGCCCCACCCTCTCCCCCCACCCAAGCTAAGATTGCTACCTGTCTCACCCAGAGGCAGGTCATGGAAGCCCTGGGCCAGTCCTTGTCTGTGGGCGGCCTGCTCTGCCACATCCCCCTCCCCAGCCCTGGGGCCCCAGAGAGCCACAGGAAAAGTGTGAGAGAAGGCATAATTACCGCGAGGGCTTGGCCCCCACCCAGAGAAGCGTACGCAGGGCAATCCTCTTGTGCAGGTTCCAACGCTCTACAGCCACGGCCACTATAAGGCCACCGAGGAACAGCATGTTGGTGTCCTTCATGTACTGGACACACACCTAGAGAGAGACACACTGCTTGGGCCCGGGGCCACTCCAGTCCTTAGAGATGGGCAGGTGCGTCAGGGTGCCTGCAGGCACAGTGCGGAGTGGGGCTGGAGGCTCAAGGGGCATGCCTCCAAACAGGGAGAACCCCGGGAGGGGGTTTATCTGGCCATACCTGGACCCGGAGAGAGTCAGTGGGAGGTCCTCAAAGCCCCCAAGACCCCTGGAGTTCACTCACCTGCTTGGAGTCCAGAATCTTGAAGAGCGGGAAAAGCACGACGGGCAGGAGGGAGGTGACAGCCAGAGGGATGACTTCCGTGCACCAGTAAACGGCCATGAGGATGATGACATAGGCGCACCTGACAAACTGAAGAGCCAGCTCTGAGGCCTCCGCTCCACATGCCCTCACCCCCCCATCTGCCACCTCTGGGCTTCCGTGGAGGGAGCCACCCCCCTCAGGGCCCCCCGTTTTCCAGGTCTGGGACCTTGAGGAAGGTTCCGGATCTCTGGTTGCAAACCCTTGTCCCAGCTCCCTAAGGTTGTGCTTCTAGGCAAGCCCTTTCTTCGTTCATCAAGCCCCGGTGTCTTCGTCCCTCAGAACGAAATGCAAACAGGAAAGGGAGATGGGAGAGGAGAAGAATGAGGAAGAGAAAAATTACAAAGCATCTTGCCAAGCGCAACCCTTCTCCATTTTGCAAATGCAATGAATGTTCTCCGTGCTCCCTTTCAACCCTGCTTCCTGTGCTGGGCATTCAATCACAAGCATGGTGCCCATGACTACACACGGCCAGTCTTAAAGCTGCAAGGACTCCAGAGGTGGGAGAGAGATCTTCTCCTAGGTCATCACGCGGTTGAGCCAAGGTTGTTGTTCCTTTTCTACCATGGACATGAAGCTGGCATCACCCTACGTATCCAGGGCATCTACTCTAAAGTCAGTCTTTAGCAAATGTTCTCAGTCCTGATTCCAAGCTGTTTTCTCTAAGGACCGCTTCGACTGTGCCCCGCTCTCAGAAATACACAAGTCACCCAGTTCACCCAGGACTTGCCAACGTTTAGTACCTCCAGGCTTTTAAATTATTAGGATCAGCACAACCCGAAGATGAGGCTTGGCGTATTCATTAGCCTCTCACTAATTACAAGGGGCTCCATCTTTACTCTCACTGCCGATCCAGTTGATGCCGGGGACTCACAGCGACTCCAGCTGGTGGTTTCAAACTGCTGACCTTGCAGCCCGACTCATAACCACTAAGCCACCAGGGCTCCTGCCAGCTTTGCTATGACGTTATGCTTCCGTCAACAGTCTGCTCACGCCTGGGGAAGAGTCGGGCTTCGGAGCCAGACAGGCCTGGGTGGCGATGCGAGTCTTTACTGGTCTTACTCCTCAAGGTCCCGCTTTCTGTGAGTCCTGAAGCTAACCTCTTGGGACCTCAGGGTTCTCATCTATTAAAAGATGGTTACTGAGAGCCACCTCTCTACTCTGTTTTATGATGAATCCATTTTTTTAAATTGTTGTTAGGCACTGTCTCATTTTTTATTATCATTTTTACATTTTATTGATAATCACCTATAACTCAGCCTTTGCTTACTCCCTCACTCTAGTCCTCTCCAAGGAAGTCAGTTACCAAAAACTACAGATTCAAACCCTTAAATCGCTGACCTCACCTTCCCACCTACCCTTTCAAGCCTGTGGCCAATGACCGGGTTCAGGCCCCATCATCTCCTGCCTGTGTCCCTACAGCTGTCTCCTGATTTGATTTCAAGCCCCAGCATGCCTCTCTGATTTGCAAATCTTTGACCAGGTCACTCTCTGGTTTGCAAACCTCTTGTTGCCTTCACTATAAGACCCAGAGGTGTCCACATGCCTTATGACATGCTCCCTCCCCGCCCCCGCCAACTCCAGGGCTACACCAGGCCCTGCAGCTCCAAGGCCCCCCAAGCACTTGCAGTAACTGGAAGCATGATGCTCTCCCCCTCACACCCTCCTTCTCTCACACACTCCCCCTTCACTCGCCTGGGACTCCGCCCTGAGGTCTAAAGCAGGGTTCTCAAGGCACCACCGCTGATGCTTCCCACTTGAAGGTTCTCCCTTGTGGGGTCTAGGATGCCCAAGGCATTCTAGGATGTTGGGGAACATCCCCGTCTGCTAATCCCATGAGTTAGTTATGGCAATTAAAAAAATATCTCTCTGGAGCAAATTAAGGGGGAGGAAGAGAAAGTGGAGCACATTTTGGTCCACCAAGCCTTGAGGACGATATCCCTGCTCAGAGCATCCAATGCACTGAGGACCATATGGCCGGCCCCACTATGAGACACGATGTCCCTCACTGACGCATATCCCTACAGGGAACAACACTGGAGACACAGCACAGGAATTGCACCCTATCTGACCCCACCACACTGAGGCAAAACACTAAGGGCGTGCAACAGAAGAGCAAGGGGAGCAGAGCAAAGAAGTCCCAAGGGAATACCAAAAACAGACTTTGGGGCCAGGATGTGGTACCCCATCAGACTCAACCGGAAAACACTCCTAAAGGTCAACAAACAGACCTTGAACGATTTTCAGGCTTTTCTTTTTTTTGTTTGTTATTGTTTTGTTTTCTTTTCTTTTGTTGTTTTGTTTTGCTGTTTTGTTTTTGTGCATATTATTATCTCTGCAGGTCT